TCCACCACCATCTCATACACCAGCATCACGGGGCAGTGGATCATTGCAGGATCCCCCGCCGGCGCCGTGCCCGGCAAGGTGAGGTCAAATGCCTCCAATAGTGTCCATCTCTGCACCACTGATTGTGCTCGTCCCCCGCTCTGACTCCCTACTGCGTGGTGCCCGCTGCGCAGGTGACCAGCAAGATCGGCTCAGCACTCGTCAGCAAGTCCACCAAGGTGACCAATACCGTCAACACCAAGCTGGCAGATGACGTGGTGGGCACCTGCAAGAGTTCCACCTGAGGGCTTCTCCGCCGAGCCTTTTGTGGCGGGGGGGGGGGCATATGGCTGGAGCGGGAGAGGGAAGGCGTCGAGCAGGGCTGCAAGCTGCCGTTGTGCCCGTCCCCTGTCCCTGCAAGCAGCTCCCTGCATGTCCGCCGCCGTCCCTGCTGGCAGCTCCCCGCGCGCCTGGTCCATCATGTTGTGCCCCAGGTTGTGCTTGTCGGGCAGCTTGTTGAGCTCCACCAGTGCCTCCCACTGCGAGGCCCATGCCACCACACAGGCGAGGGAAGCAAGAAATGCAAGCACGTTGGCAGCGGGGCGATGTGCAGATTCGGGGGCGGCCCGCGGCGCATGCATGCCAGCCGTGGCGACAGAGCCACCAAACGGCGCACAACATCACATTCCACCGCCACGCAGCCACCGCCCCCACCTGCTCATTCACGCGGATCAGGCGCTCGGCCACGGCGGCGATCGTCCAGGCGGCGGGACCACCAGGGGCGGCGTTGTGGATGTAGGAGGCGCCGCCTGCAGGAGGCAGTGGGGCACAGCACAGCACGACGCAGCGCGTGGGCTTGCAGGGAAGATGCAGCGATCACGCCACAGGCATGCACAAATTGCAGCGCCTGCACAGCCAGACAGGCAGCTGGGCTGGAGAGGCAACAGGTGCATGCAACACGGCGCTGGGAAGGGCAAGTGCAGGTTCGGGCTGGCGGGCCCGATGCGCCATGCTCCCCGCCCGCCAGCCAGTGGCCTCTGCCGGACACAAGGGCCAGGTGCCAGCAGGAAAGCAGTGCACCCACCGTTGACGGTGGCGCCGCCGTCTTGCAGCGACATCCAGGTGATGTTGCTGAGGGGCGGTACCGTCAGATACTTGTACGGATCCTGGTACAGGTAGCTGTCGCTGTCCAGCAGCCTTCAGCAGGGCGGGGCCACACGTGCCCGCAGGCGCCAGCGCCGGAGGTCAAGGTCACGTGTCTGCCAGCCAGGGATGCACCGATGCAGAGCGCCGGCGCCGACGGGGAGCAAGCAGCCGTCCTGCGGGCCGGGCAGGCGGCCAGCCCACTCACCACACGTTGTAGCCGTGCCAGACGGCCCGGGCCATGAGGATGTAGCGCACAGCCCACATGTCGACTGCATAGTGTGAATGATGGGCGAAGGAGCGGGGAGTGTGGGGAGTGGTGGTGCAGGGTGGGGGTTGGGGGTGCATGGGCGGGCCCACACCAACAGACAGAGTGATGCAAGTGTCAAAGGAGGCTGAGGGGGAGAGCGCATGCCGCATCAGCCAGCCCAGGGGGACAGGCGGGTGTGGGTGTTCAGGCTGGAAGCGCGTTCTGAATGCATGCCCCCGCCAGGAGGCATCGAGGCGGGGCCGGCGGCGCTGGAAGGCTTACGTGGCTCGCCGATGCTCCAGCCCTCGCCCTGGGTGCGGAACCAGGGCCTGCGGGGGGTGCGCCGGGGGGCGGCCCGGTGAGCAGCACTGGCGCAGCGCACCTCGCAAACCACGCCTCTCCAGGACGGGAGGCCCCACCAGGCGGGATCTGCCGGTACCGCAGGAACCACAGGCGGGCCTCCCCTGCCGGTGCCCCGCACTCCGATCCCCTGTAGAGACGAGGGTGAGTGCACCAGGTGCCGGCGGCCCCTCCTACCACGCATGCCCGGGGCAGGCGGTGGCAGAGCTAGGCTCACCGCTCAGACCACACACAGGTGATGTTGTGGTATCCCGCGGCCGCCAGCACGGCGCACGACTCGTTGCTGCGAGCGTACAGCATCACATTGGCAAGGCCCAGCTTCCAGGCGCCAGCAACTGCAGGTTGAGAAGGAGGCGGAAGGGCAGCGGCAAATTGCCTCGGGCATGGAGCAGGGGGCGTCCCTTCGCTGCCCCTGCGCGGGGCGGGCACGCACGGGCGGGACAGGGCGGGCCGAGGGGCGAGGCCGGCGGCGAGGGCGAGCGGCGGCAATGGGGGCAGCGGACAGCGGCACAGGGTCTGGCCGCCAAAGGCGGTAGCTCAGACCAACAGGGGGGCGCACCCCGGCGGGCATCGGGCATCAGGGAGCAGCAGCAGCAGCAGCAACAGCAGCAACGGTGGCAGCAAAAGCAGCAGCAGCAGCGGGCGGCACCAGCAGCAAGCGGCAGCAGCGGGCGGCACCAGCAGCAAGCGGCAGCAGCGGGCGGCACCAGCAGCAAGCGGCAGCAGCGGGCGGCACCAGCAGCAAGCGGCCGCAGCGGGCGGCAGCAGGAGCGAGCGGCAGCTCCCCTCAAGCGCCAGCTCCCCTCAAGCGGCACATAGATAAGCGGCAGCTGCCTCACCAAAGTTCACGCCCAGCAGGTGCGCGCTCGTGCCGATGGTCAGCATGATGCACTCCTTCTTGTAGCAGCTGGCGTTCAGCTGCGCAGCAGGGGTGCACGGCAGCAGCGGCAGCAGGCAGGGCATCAGGCAGGCAGGCACGGCACTCCTTCCTGGAGCAGCTGGCCCTGAGCTGCGGGGGAGGTGGCGACAGGGCACAGGAGGCGATCACGAGCGTGCATGAGCGGGTTCCAGCGATCACGGCAGGCAGGCGGGCGCCAAGCATCTTCCGCTGCAGCGGCTGGCTCTCAGGCGCGCAGGAGGCGCGGGAACACAGCTGGGTGCAGGGTGTGGCAGGCAGGCAGGCAGGCGGCAGGCAGGGGTCCGTGCGGCAGGCGGGGGAGGGGCACCGGGCACACAGGCCTGCCAGGGAGCGGCGCTGGGCTGTCGGCGGCAGGCTACCTGCCACGTTCCGCGCTCCCCCCCAACACCACCACCACCACCACCAACAACAACAACAACCGCTCCCCTCCATCTCACCATGGCCTTGAAGCCCTCCGTGCTGTCCACCTCCCCCACATACGCCTGCAGCTTGCCCACGCTGCAGTAGCCGCTCTCCCGGCACGGCAGCTCGGGGTCGCCGCCACCCTCGCCGCCGCCGCCATCGCCCTTGCCGCCGGCGCCGCCGCCCTCGCCGCCGGCACCGCCGGCAATGCTGCCGCCACTGGCCGCCGCGTGGCCGACCAGCGAGGCGGCGGCGAGGTGCACCTGCTGGGCGGCTGAGCCCACCACGCCAGACCAGCCAGCGCCCGAAGACTTCAGCACGTGCGCGGCAGCAAGCACCAGCGCCATGGCCGCAATCCACACGCCGCGGCCCGGCTTGCTGCCGCGCTGCGTCTTGAAGCGGCGGCGGGCGGCGTCGGGGGCGCCGGCCTCCATCCCGCTCGACTGCGCTGGATTGCACTACTGCCTCGGACGCCTCTGGTATGTATGGCAGGGCATGAGGCCGCGATGACGGCCCATTTGCTGCTTGAGGGCAACTCTATCGTCGATCGCACGAGTGCATGGTCTCAAGTCGGACGATCTTCCGGAGAAGAACAAAACGACGGGGGAAAAAGGGCTGCGCTGCGCTCTGTTGGGTGATCTCTCAAGATGTAGTGCTTCAGCACTGCCGGCGGGACGGCAGCATTCGCGGCGCACATGCTTGCTTGTGTGGGCTTAAAGTCTGGTAAAGCAAGAACTAGCTTGCAACATAGACTCCCCGCCGAAACGGGACGGGAACCGGGCGAAAGCAGAGAAAGCAATAAAACAGGGGTGGAGCAAGGCGACATGCAACGCAAGCAGCTGACAGGGCACGCATCGAAACGTGTGTATGACTGGCAAAGTGGCATGGCGCATTGGGGAGAAACGCAACGGTACGGGAGCAT